GAGCCTGGGGGTGCTACTACTGGGGGTGCTGAGCCTGGGGGTGCTGAGCCTGGGGGTGCTACTACTGGGGGTGCTGAGCCTGGGGGTGCTGAGCCTGGGGGTGCGGAGCCTGAGGGAGCTGGGCCTGCTCGTTTGGCGTCTGGCGGTGCTGAGCCTGGAGGTTCTCCGGGTGCTTCGTCTCGGCGGGAGCCACTCTCTCCACAGGAGCTGCGTGAGTGGTTTGCCCGGCGCTGGAGGCGTGCTGCTGGAGCTGGAGGTTCTTCGGCTGCTGAGGGTGCTGGTGCCGTGGGTCCCGGAGGTGCTCGTACTGGGAGTACTGGAGCTGCTGGGCCTGCGGGTACGACTGGAGCTGGAGCTGCTGAGGGTGTTGGCGCTGAGGCTACTGCTGTCGGTCCTGGAGGCGGTCCTGCTGGGGGTACTACTGGTGCGGTTGGAGGTCCTGGAGCTGGAGGTGCTGCTGGCGCTAGTGCTGCCGCTGGGGGTACTGGTGCTGTCCCTGCTGTGTCTGGAGTCGCCGCGCGGCCTCGGCCGTACTTCGTTCCGCTCCTTCAGCAGGTTCTTGGTCTCCCGCCTTCTACTGGTCCTCCTCCTCCCTTAGAGTGTCCACAGCCTGTCCCGTCACAGTTCCAGTTACAGCCGGCCTCCCCACTGCCCGCTCCCTCTCCCTACACTGGTCCTACTGGAGGTCTTGCTGAGCGTCGTGAGCCTGCGTCCCGCCCTGCGTCGCCTGTCCGTGCTGCTCGCACTAGTGGTCGTGGTTCGCGTCAGCGTCCTCCTCCTGTCCCTGGCACGCACCGGATGTCTCTGCGTCCGTCCACTGCTCCTCTGCGTGCCCCTTTGCCTTCTCCTCCTGAGTCCTCTCTTCCTGCTCTTCCTGACCCGGAGTCGGACTCTCTTCGTGCTGCCAGTCCTACTGTCACACGTCTCCTTGCTACTGTTGTCACTGACCCTTCCTTTGAGTCCACTGCTGCGTCTGCCCTAGCTGCTGAGCTCGTCGACTTTGCTGCTCGCTGTCGTCTAGACTACGCTGCTAGTCTTGTTGCTGAGTCTGTCTGTCCTCCGTCCGTCGGGGGTGAGTGTGCCCTTGGCACGGACGTCCTTGAGGACAGGCAGGAGGAGTTCCAGTGTTTGGCTGCTGCTTCACCTCATCTCGTGTCCGTACTGCTTACCCCTGAGGGAGACCCGGATGCACTTGACATCCCGACTCCGCGCTCTTACGCGGAGGCGATAGAGGGTCCCTACTCCTCTCAGTGGCAGGCAGCTATGGACGCAGAGATGGCTTCCTGGAAGTCCACAGGCACCTACGTCGACGAGGTTCCCCCGCCTGGGGCGAACATCGTCAGTGGCATGTGGATTTTCAGGGTGAAGCGGCCGCCGGGTTCTCCGCCTGTCTTCAAGGCGCGTTACGTGGCTCGTGGCTTTAGTCAGCGGCAGGGAGTTGACTACTTTCAGACCTTCTCTCCTACCCCGAAGATGACCACTCTTCGGGTACTGCTGCACGTAGCTGCTCACCGCGACTACGAGCTGCACTCTCTTGACTTCGGCACTGCTTTCTTGCAGGGTAGCCTGCACGAGGAGATCTGGCTGCGTCGCCCACCTGGCTTCACTGGGTCTTTTCCTCCTGGCACCCAGTGGAGCCTCCGGCGGCCAGTCTACGGTCTCCGCCAGGCACCGCGTGAGTGGCACGACACACTGAGGACTACACTTGCGGCTCTTGGGTTTGCTCCCTCTACTGCCGACCCGTCGCTGTTTCTGCGCACCGACACTTCTTTGCCGCCGTTCTACATCCTCGTGTACGTCGACGACTTGGTCTTTGCCACAGCTGACACTGCTGGACTCGCCCACGTGAAGTCCGAGCTGCAGAAGAGACACACGTGCACAGACCTGGGTGAACTGCGCAGCTACCTTGGCTTGCAGATCACCCGGGACAGAGCACGCCGCACCATTACCCTGACTCAGTCACACATGGTGCAGCAGGTCCTTCAGCGCTTCGGCTTCACGTACTCCTCGCCTCAGGCCACTCCTCTGCCTACTCGCCACTCGCTCTCAGCTCTGCCTTCGGATGAGTCCGTAGAGTCGAGTGGCCCGTACCCAGAGCTTGTTGGCTGCCTCATGTACCTGATGACCTGCACACGACCTGACCTTGCATACCCTCTTAGCATTCTCGCACGCTATGTTGCTCCTGGGAGACACAGACCGGAGCACATGGCTGCAGCGAAGAGGGTGTTGCGCTACTTGTGCAGTACGTCGGGCATGGGGCTTGTGCTTGGAGGGCAGAGTCCAGTGGTCCTCACTGGGCACGCAGACGCTTCTTGGGCTGACGACCAGGCTACGCAGCGGTCGTCATAGGGTTACACCTTCAGCCTTGGTTCCGGTTCTGTTTCGTGGCGGGCTACCCGCTCGTCTTCTGTTCTCGGCTCCAGTTGTGAGGCTGAGATCTACGCTGGGGCCATGGCTGCACAGGAGCTTCGCTGGCTCACCTACCTGCTGACTGACCTCGGAGAGCCGCCTCGTTCTCCTCCAGTGCTGTACGTAGACAACAAGGCCATGCTGGCCTTGTGTCGAGAGCAGAGACTGGAGCACAGAACGAAGCACATTGCTCTCCGCTACTTCCTTGCTCGTGAGCTACAGCAGCGTGGTCAGCTGCGACTTGCGTACGTGGCCTCTCAGGCCAACACTGCTGATATCTTCACCAAGGCACTTGCGCCTTGTGATCATCAGCGTTTCTGTACTCGGCTGGGCCTTGTGCCTACCTTGCCTCACTTGCTCACCCCTTGACCTTGTTTGTACTGTTGCATATATATATACACGTGCTCTTGCTTGTCTAGCCTTATATATATATGTAATCCTGCATGTGAACTGGCCTTGTGGCCTTGAACTTGTGCTCGGAATGTGTGGTGACTTTGTGATCCACCCTGAGCTTGCTTTGCTTTGCTTGACTGGTCTTGTGACCCCTTGTTCTCCCCCACTTTGCCTATGGGGGTGTGTCAGATTTATATGACAAAGCTACTGTAGGCTATAGTGCACATATGGGGTACAGTTTTCTAGGGTTTGTATTTGTACCCAACTTTCCCTTAGTCATTCTCATTCCTGTTTTCTTAATTCACACTTGGGAGCAGCAGCTGCCGCTGATCGAGTTCGCGTACAACAACGCCACGTCAGCGACGACGCAGCAGTCCCCCTTCTACCTGAACTACGGGCAAAACCCTATAGTGCCCATGACGCCGAGTCCGGACAACCCAACACCACGTGAACAGCAATTCGCCGAAATTCTACAAGCTGCTCGCACCAGAGCCGCTGAAGCAATTAAAAATCCAACGCCATCGCTAAACGCAACGCTGACAGCCACCGCCGCCCAGTCACGTACCAGTCAGGAGATTACGTACTGCTCGACACGCAAAACTTAAGACTGCCCGTCGTACCGAAATTACGACCCCACTACTGTGGACCATTCCAAATCAGCCACATGATTACCCCAGTGACAGCTCACCTACTGTTACCGACGGACTGGTACATCAGCCCTTCGTTCCACGTCAGCCTGCTTCGCCCATACATCCCAACCACAAGCCAATTGCCTCGTCACCGCCCGCCATCCATGACTCGCCCTGCATCGGAGCCGACCATCGAGCCCGAAAAAATCATGAGCCATCGGATTCGACACCCCACGGGAATCAGGAGGATTGAATTCCTCGTTCGCTGGAAGGATCGCACGCCAACTGAGGATAGCTGGGTGCCCCTGGCCAACATCGAAAACCACCCTGCCCAGAAAGTGTACCTGAGGAGCCGGGGTTTCCGCGATATACACGCACTCGCGTAGCGGAAGGGGCTTCTTGAGGGGCGGGGTAGTGTAAGGAATTTTCTCGACATTCCTTAGCGCGCCCTGCAACATCGCGTACAGCAGCAGCCGTTGTTCGCCCGTTACTGCTAACGGGGCTTTGCCGACTTCGCGCGCACTGTTTCACCAAACCTCGCAATGCTGGCCTGGCCGTGTCGGCCTACGCTTCGGGACTAGCCCGAGCCTCGCTTCCAGCATAGCACTAGCTAGCTCGCACGCACCGCGTTACCGTTTGCATGTTTCGCGTATAAATGTTCGCTCATGCCTTCGCTCACATTTTGTACTCGTTTGACACCTTAGTGCAATTCTCGCTACTTCGATTCATTGCACCCGTAACAGAAATTTTTCATATTGACTATGGAGATGTCCAACTGTCCCAAGTGTTCCAAAAAAACTTCTGTTTTCAAGTGGACCCAACTAGAAGGGGGGGGTCACAATTTTAGCTGCTGGCTTTAACGGTGGACAAGTGAGGTGAGCCGTGCGGCAGACCCATGCACGTCCTTCGCCGTAGCACTTCCCCAATTCGGCCTATCGTCATGCTAGTCGTGGCGCACTCTCCCGCGAGATGCGCATCACAGCGGCTGGCGTTCGTCACACCACCGCATTGTGCGAATCGCCACGCAAGCAGGTCTTGCGGCGATGCGGCTTGCTCGCATGGAGACACCCGACGCGGCTCCCTCTCGTGCATGCACCCGCACGCCGCGCACGCAATGCACATTGCCGAATCGCCGCGAGTGCCTGGCGCGCTGCACCGTTACTTTCACGAGGAATGTCGAGTGATGTAGTGCTGCCTCTCAATGTCGACGAGTGTGGACTGTCGTTGTCGCTGTCGACTGCTGCACGCCTCCGCAATGGTGACGACGCGCTCGACTGAAGCGCCGCGAGGCAGTCCCTCCCACTCCTTCCGCTGCTCTCCCTCCCACTCCTTCCGCTGCACTCCCTCCCACTCGACTGCAAGTCCTTAGCCTCTCGAGCGGGCCCCTGTTTATCGCGTCAGTTCACTTGCGCTCACCGAGTTCCTTGGTCATCGCCACACTCACCACGCCCTTCAACGGTCCGTCTCGTCTCGTCGCAGGGCTCTCGATCCGTTCCTCCGTCAGCCCGCCCTTCGCTCATCGCATAGTCGCAATCGTCGCATCGAGTGTCGCGACAGCAGCACGGCAGCATGTGGGGCCATCTCACGTCGTCCCTCCGCCGACTCACAGTGCGCTCAGGCGAGCCGCACACGGCGCCGGACAAGCCGCTCATCGTCGTCTTCGGGGCCACCGGTGAGCCTCGCCGCGCCTCTCGGCGCTACTTACGCTCACGTGTGTCCGTCTTTCTAACTCCTCTCCTTGCACACAATCCTTTCCCGCCCTCCCTGCCATCACCACCTCCCCCTTTCCCGCCCACCAGGCGCGCAGGGCAGCAGCGTGGTGGCGGCGCTGCTGGCGAGCGGGCGCTACCGCATCCGCGCCGTCACGCGCCACGCCGACTCGCCGCGCGCCGCCCACCTGAGGGACGCCAAGGTGGAGGTGGCGCAGGCCGACCAGGCGGACCGCCAGGCCGTGCGGGCGGCGCTGGACGGCGCGTATGGCGCGTTCGTGGTGAGTGCCGTGCGGCAGCGCAGCAGCCTCACTCCCCGCCGTGGCTTGTTCCGGCAGGCCAGGACTCACAGGGTGTGGCTTCCCGTGTTTTGGGCTGCAGTCGCGACTGGCTGTGAGCCTGCCAGCGAGTGCCGGTCCCACCACCTGCTCCTCCAGTCGTCTTACTCTGCGCAACCCATGGCCATGCTCCGCCGTGTGCTACGGTCCACAGCCGCGTCTGCACTGCACTTGCTCTAACCCTTTCGCCGTCTTTCCAAACTGGTTCACCACACCCCGCCCCTACAATCGTGCCTCTCTGCCTCCCCCTTGTCCTTGCCGCCCAGGTGACGGACTACTACTCGCTGGGTGCGAGGGAGGTGGAGGTGGGCAAGGGAGTGGTGGAGGAGGCGAGGGGGGCGGGCGTGCAGCACGTGGTGTGGAGCACACTGCCCCACGTGCACCGCCTCTCCAAGGGGCAGCTCAACGTGCCGCACTTCACCAACAAGGCCCAGGTGCATGCCTCTCGCCCCCTTCTTTCCCGGCTCTGCAGCTGCCGCCCACTTGTTGCTGCCGCCCACTCGTTGCTGCCGCCCACTCGTTGCTGCCGCCCACTCGTTGCTGCTGCCTTACCGCATGCTTCCCCTTATCTCCAGGCCTTGCGTTTATGCGCCTGCTGCCCCACGCCGGGTGCCACACCCCAGGTTTCCCTCGCTTTTCCAACTCTTGCGCCCACTGCTGCGCCGTCGCTGTGTGCCGTCTCTCTTGGTCATCCCGGCCTGGCAGGTGGAGGAGGTGGTGAGGGCGAGCGGCTTCAAGCACCACACGTTCGTCATGTGTGCCTTCTACTACCAGAACTTCGCCCACTTCCACCTCGCCAGGTGAACTTCGCCCACTTCCACCTCGCCAGGTGAACTTCGCCCACTTCCACCTCGCCAGGTGGGTCCTCTCGCCCTTCCTCACCAGGTGCGCCCATGCGCCTTGTCCCTCGCTGCTTGTCATCCGTTTCAACACGCTCATGCAAGAGCATTGCCATTCCACTGTGTCTTGTGTACTGCTCGCATGTGTGGTGTGCCTGGCGGGGCAGGGAGGAGGGTGACGGCACGGTGGTGTTTGAGCTGCCCATGGCGGCGGACGACATGCTCACGGCCTTCGATGTGGACGACACCGGTGCCGCCGTGCTCAACGCCCTTGACCATCCCGATGAGTGGCACGTGAGTGCTTTCTTCTCGCCCTGGCATCATGGCAAAAACCAAGTCAACTGCTCCTGCTTGCCCATCTGTTGCCCCCGTGTTCCTTCTCTGCTTAGTCCTATCTCTCTCCGTCTCTCTCTCCTTCTCCCCCACCCTCTCCCTCTCTCTCTCTGCCTCTGTCTCTCCCGCTGCCGTGCCCCGCCATGAGCCTGGCAGGGCGAGTACATGTGTCTGGCGGGCTACCACGCCCCCCTGCACCAGTACGTCGCCGACTTCCACCGCGCCACGGGCCGCCCCGCTCGCCTGCACACCACCAACAAGGCCGCCTCGGAGGAGTGGACGCAGGTGAGGGGGGACGCAGGTGAGGGGGGACGCAGGTGAGGGGGGACGCAGGTGAGGGGGGACGCAGGTGAGGGGGGACGCAGGTGAGGGGGGACGCAGGTGAGGGGGGACGCAGGTGAGGGGGGACGCAGGTGAGGGGGGACGCAGGTGAGGGGGGACGCAGGTGAGGGGGGACGCAGGTGAGGGGGGACGCAGGTGAGGGGGGACGCAGGTGAGGGGGGACGCAGGTGAGGGGGGACGCAGGTGAGGGGGGACGCAGGTGAGGGGGGACGCAGGTGAGGGGGGACGCAGGTGAGGGGGGAGGGATGCGTGCACTCTGGCTTCAGGGGGCACGCTGGGGCGGCGACGAGGGAACTCACCGTCCAGTGGATTCACTTGATGCTCGTTGGTCCTCACCGTGCTGCATCACATGTCATGTCATGTCTCCAGCACCGTTCCACACTCTCCTGCCTTCTCCACTCCCCCTCTCATCCATTGTCCCCCCGTCCCGTGCCTCCCGCGCAGATGTTCCGCTGGTTCTCCCAGCACACGTACTTCGGCTGCCATGACATCAGCAATGCGCGGCGCTGCAACCCGCACCTCAAGACGTGGCGCCAGTGGCTGCAGGAGAGCGGCTGGAAAGGGCCCCAGGGGGGCGAGGGGGAGGGCGAAGCCAAGGGGGAGGCGAAGGGGGAAGGTAAGGGTGAGGCTGAAGGTAGGGGTGGGGGGAAGGATGTGGGAGGAGGGGCGACGGAGGTGGAGCATGGGGTTGAGGAGGCCCCTTCCAAGGCGCATGTGGCGGGCGCATAGCAGTGTGGTGGAGTGAGGAACAGGTCACTGCACGCGGCAGACAGTGCCCTTGGTACACATGTGGATATGACCTCTCAAAGTTGGACTGCATATGTGTTGGAACATGCTTGCCATGCTTGTACATATTGTGAATACCAGCGTTAATGTGTGCTGATTCTTCTCACATGTCAGCTGCTGCCACATGTGGGCCAAGCACACACCTGTACAATGTGCTGTGCTGCTTCCATCACATCAAACCAACGTTTCTGCAATTAACATACACTCTGCTGCTCCTCCTGCACGCGAATTAGCGTGTAAGCAGTTCCTTATGACTACAAAACCGAGACAAAACCACTGCTGTGCACCATGCTACTCAGTGTGTGGTAGCAGCGACAGCACCTTGGCTGCATGGGCTTCTCTCGACCCAAACAGCGGGCGCATGTCAGCAGGCAACCATGCCTCGTCCACCCTCCACGGCCCTGCCCCACTGCCTCCTCTTCCCCCCCTCCCTCCCATCGCTCCACCCGCCTTCTCCACCATCTCCTCCCCAAACGTCTCTGCAATGCGGTACAGAGCGGTGCGCACCACATCCGCCATGGCCCATGCCTCGCCCCACACTGGCCCCACCACCCCCTCTCCGTACACCGCTCTCCCCACCGCCCCGCCCCCAGCTCCCACGCCTGGTACGGCCGAACCACCTGCTTCAGTACCTCCATACCTAAGACCGAGGGTCGGTGTGCCAAATAATCCCCCACTTCCCGAAGCTAGAGCCGGGGTCTGGTGGGAGAAGGCAGGCTGAGAGGCACCTGGAGGAGTCGCTTGCGAGGAAGCTTCCCCGAAGCCAGAGAAGGTGGCTGGGGCGGCGGGGTGGCGGTGGGAGGGGGAGAGGAGGAGGTGGTCGAGGGCGAGCAGCGCGGAGAGCAGCGAGGAGAGCGCCGCGGCGTTGGCGCCCGCCATCTGCGCCACGCCCATGCGGTCCTCCGCGCGCGACGCTGCTGTCAGCGCTGCCAGCGCTCGCATGCTCATGGCGCACAGCTGGTGTGGTGGGGAGAGATGGAGGGGTGTGGAGGAGGTGGCATTAGGTTTGAAGAGTTGTGGGTGGATGGGTGGAGCACAGGGGAGAGGAAAAGGGGGAGCGATGGCTGTTGGAGAAATTTGGAGCCATTTTGCGGCACCTGCAGAAAGCCATGCATGTGGTGCAGCTCGAGGTGTGATGTCAAGCATGGCATGACATGCATGGCGTGGCATGTGGCCCACCTCGGCCACAAACCCCACCTGTCACCCTCTCACCTGCCGCCCTCTCACCTGCCGCCTTCTCATCTGCCGCCCTCTCACCTGCCGCCTTCTCACCTGCCGCCCTCTCACCTGCCGCCCTCTCACCTGCCGCCCTCTCACCTGCCGCCCTCTCACCTGCCGCCCTCTCACCTGCCGCCCTCTCACCTGCCGCCCTCTCACCTGCCGCCCTCTCACCTGCCAGTCAAAGAACACCTCAGCAGCGCTGGGCGTTCTCCTCCTCCCCTGCAGACCCCTCACGCCCATTCCACTCCCCCCTGCCCCCCCTGCCTCGCCACCATCTGATCCCGCCCCTCCATTCCACGCCGCCCCCCCGAACACCCCATATGCGCCGCTCCCCCCGACCCCTCCCCCTTGCAGCGCCTGCCCCTCCACCCCCTTCCCTCCACCCTTCCCCTGCCGCCATCTCATCCCTTCAGCAGAGACAAACCCGGCTGCTGTGACTGCAGCCGTGGGTGACTGTAACGAGTACTGCTGCTGCTGCTGCTGCTGCAGTGCAGTGGTAACGGTGGGGTAACCAGCGGCGGCAGCGACTCGGGCCGTCATGGCGTCGACTGGGCGGATGCACGCCGCCACCACCGTGCCGTACGCCTCCTGCGACTCAAACAGCGCTGCACGGCGCCACGTGTCAGCCTCTGATTCGGCGAGCAGCGAGAGGTCGAGCAGCGCCCAGTGGAGCACGAGGCGGGGCAGGGCGGGGGGCGCAGGCAGGGCGAGGAGGGGCAGGGGGGGCGGGGACGGAGGAGGGGCGGGGGACGGGGAGGGGGAGAGGGCGAGGAGGAGGGGGGCGAGGGGGGAGGAGGGGGAGGAGGGCGCGGGGAGGAAGAGATGGCGATGGGTGAGGAAGATGTCCGTGGCGGCCGCTGCCGCCTCCCAGGAGAAGGCCAGGAACGCCACGGCGTGCAGGCGGGCCAGCAGACAGAGCAGCAGCGCGCGGATGGACAGGGGTGGGGCGGCGAGGAAGGGGAGGGGGATGCCGATGGCGGTGGTGATGGCGGTGGCGAGGAGCGGCAGGAGGAGCGGGCGGAGCAGTAGGGAGTAGAGGAGGGCGGTGATGCACCCGAACGTGGCTGCTGACGTGGCGCAGCGCGGGAGGGTCGTCTTGAATCGGTAGAACGGGGCGCGCTGTAAGGGGTATGGGGGATGGCATAGAGAGGGCGGCAATAGGGTTGTGGGTTTAGAGAGGCATAGAGAGGTGAGTCATGGAGTGCAGCGCTGCCGCGTCAAACTCCCAACTCTCAATTGCCCTCGCCTTGCAGCCCTTGCCTTGCAGCCGTGCACGGCACCACGGCAGCTGCGGCACGGGAAGGTAGGCGCATTTGTGGGGAAGAGAGCCCAAGGCTCGGGGAACGCACCTGCAGCACGGGGAACGCGAGGAGGTAGTCGCGCCGCACCACGTGGTACGCCGCGAACAGCACCCCCACCGCGCCGCCGAACCCCGCCTCGCCCGCCACGGCCCAACCGTTCGGCCACCACGCGCCGTTGGATTCGATCTCCGCCGCGCCTTCCAGAAGCTGCGCGCGGAAGAGAGAGAGCGCAATCGCTCCTGCGGAGCCCGCCGCGGCGCAGAGTGAAGCGAACTTGGCGCGGCCCGCCAGCGTCGCCCTAGCCGCTTCCGCCTCCCATTGGCTGGCGGGCCCGCGAAACCCGCCGTGCACTGCGCGAATCTGTTGGTCTTGGTGCACGAACGGGCGTGGATCTGATGTGCCGGCAAATCCGGCGAGATTCGCGGCGGAAGCGAGGAGGGAGGCAGTGGAGGGGAGGGGAGGGGCATCGGCGACGACGATGGCGTGGCGAGCTAGAACGAAAAGAAGTTGCGAAAGATCAAAAATCGCAAAACCGAGGTAGAGGCGCAGCGAGAAGAAGGAGAGGAGCGATGGGAGGAGGCCCGCGCGGACGACGAGCGGCGCGGCCCAGAGGAAGAGGAAGGGGCCGATGGAGAGCAGGTGGAAGAGAAAGGCGCGCGCCCAGCGGCGATGCACGACATCGCGATACATCGCCTCGGCGGACGTGCTGGCGACGGCGGAAATCTGCTCCATGACGAGATGCGATGCGATTACGACGAACAGAGGGATTACGCTGGACTGCCTTGGAACGGGAGGAGGGAAGCCATGGTTGAATGCGGGAATCGCTGGGCAGTCAGCCACAACTGCTGCCTTGCCAGAAGTGCTTCATATGCAATGAGGGCGTGTCAGATCCGCTAAAAGCTGATTTCGCTGGTTTATAGTCGACCATATGGTCTAATAAAGCTTTCACTAATTCCGACTGCGTGGTCGATTTTGTAGTCGACCATCCTTTGGCCGTGATATAAAATCTGACACATTTGGTGGCCGATTTGCAGGACGCTGTATCGAATGTGTCAGTTTTGTAGGGCGTTCGGTGGCCAGATTGTGCGACGGAGTCGCACATCTCAACAATACAGCGTCAGTGACGCTGAAAATATCATAGTAAATTACCCTTTTTACCCTGATGGGCGCCCGCTCTTTCCCAGTCACCCTTGCAAAAACAAGGTATCGAATTTTTTACCCTGCAGCAGAAAGGCTAAGTATTGATTTACACTGATAACAATTTCGGTTACCCTGCCGGTATCAGGGTGTGCAGTACATTACACTAAAACCGAATCATCTGTAACGATGATTTTCCTTGCGAAGCTGCAAAACATTGCGACCGCCGCCGGGATTTGATTGAACCTGCATTCTTACAACCGTAATCCCCCGTATATAGGACCCCCCCCCCCAGTTGTAGATCCCCGGGTCTATAATACGGACCCGGGTACTCTGTTCGAGTACATCTGAGTTATACCCCCTAAATGGCCCCTAACATTATAAGATCCCCCCACATCCTAGAGAAGTATGGATTTTACAAACAAGCAATTGAAAATGGTCATAATCTGTGCCAGAATGCAGTAGGGGTGTCTGGAAGATCCCGCCCTTTCCAGGACTGTGCAGCCCGCACGAAGCGTGCATGGGGTGTGAAGGCCAAGGTCATCATGTCAGATATATATGACTTAGCTGATGTAGGCTATAGTGGGGTAGCACATATGGGGTACACATTTCTAGGGTTTGTACTTGTACCCAACTTTTCCCTTAGTCATTCATTCCTCGTTTCTTCACATGGTATAGAGCAGGTTCCCTAGTGGGAACGCTTCCTAGGGCCCACCACGATCATTTTTTTTTTTCCTGCCCGGAGCGCGCTTCGCTCCTGCCCGAGTCGCGCCCCGTGTGCCCTCCCTCCCGTCTCGTCCCTAGCCCTTAGCGGCCCGTCGCGCCCTCTTAAGGCCCCTCGCGGCCCCTTTCACGGCCCCTCGCGGCCCCCTTAGCGCCGCCCTTAGCGGCCCCTCTCACGGCCCTTCGCGGCCCCTTACAGCACCTCGCGGCCCCTTACGGCCCCTCGCGCCGCCCTTCGCGGCCCCTTACGGCCCCTTGCACCGCCCTTCGCGGCCCCTCGCGGCCCCTTCGTGGCCCGTCGCCGCCCTTCACGGTCCCGTCGCCGCCCCTCGCGGCCCCTCGCGGCCCCTCTACGGCCCCGTCGCTGCCCTCCGCGGCCCTGTCGCCGCCCTTCACGGCCCCGTCGCCGCCCTTCGCGGCCTCTCGCGGCCCCGTCTCGTCCCCGTCGCCGCCCTTCGCGGCCCCTCACGGCCCTGTCACGGCCCCGTCGCCGCCCTTCGCGGCCCCGTAGCCGCCCTTCGCGGCCCACCGTCGCCGCCCCTGCAGCAGCACCGCCGCCGC